AGAGATAGAAACATCAATCACAAGAGAGAATCATTGATTGGTTGCCTCCTGCACACCTCACACGGGGGATAGAGCCCACAACCCAGGCATATGCCCTGACCTGGAATCGAATCATGACCTCTTGGTTCATAGGTCAACACTCAACCACTGAGCCACACCATCCAGCCAAGCTCATTTTATTCTTAAAACATGGGTACAAATGCTAACTCTCTTCTCTCTTTCTCTAGTTCTCTCATTCTGTCTCATTTTGGAGGATTAGTGAATGCCTATCCTGTGAGATTCTCCAGAACTCCCCACCTCCCCCTTCAATTCAGCAGGTGTAGTCCACTCACACCCCTCAGGGGCTGTAGGGATGGCTTGAGTTGAAGCTATTTCCCATGGCATCTACATGACCTACAGGGAACGTGCTATGAACTAGTGTTTGTGTCCCCTGAAAACTCCCATGTTGAATCCTAACCCCCAAGGTGATGGGTCGGAGTCGGGGCATTTGGGAAGTAATGAGGTTATGAGAGTGGAGCCCTCATGATGGGATCAGTGTCCTTAGAAGAGACCGAAGAGAGCCCCTCACCTCTCCCACCGTAAAGGCCACAGTGAGAAGGTGCCTTCTAAAACCACGAAGAGAGACCTTAGCAGATACTGAATCTGCTGCCACCTTGTTCTTGGACTTCCAGTCCCCGGGGCTATAAGAAATGAATGTCTGTTTTTCTTAAGTTGTTCAGTCTGTAGTATTCTATTCTGACAGCCTGACTAGAATAAGACAAAATGTACTTATCTCTTCTACTTGAGTAGTCAGAATTCTGGCCCCATGCGCATATTACTGACTTTGGCCCCAAGGCCCAAGAGTAGTAGCTTTTATGGCCATTTGGGAGCTCTGCCCATTTAGAGGGTGGGCTGGTTTGGGCAGGAGAAGTGAGGCAGAACAGACTGTGACTGCTTCAAAATTACATTCCCTCTCTAGTCATCTGGATATAAAAGGAGGGAGGGTGAGGGATTCACCCAGTTGGTTTTATTAAACTTCTCTCTTTTAGAAACCCAATAAAATGGCTGGCACACCAGTGAGAAATTTCATATCCTCAAAGATTTGGCTTTAGGGCTTTTGTTCTGGCTGTAGGCCAGAATCAGCAACAGCCACCTTACACCCTCTCGTCAAGCCAGGGAGCTGGGGAGCGAATGGGAAGGGTGTGTACAAGCCTCTCCTGGTAATCCTTAAAGACCCCCACCTACTTCCCTCCTAAGAAACTACCTTTTTCCAGTCATGGTCTCTTCTGCGTGGTTTCATAAAATATGCTGCTTTCTCTGAGTCATAAAATGGGCAAATGCCAACACAGAAATGCCACTGTTTTCTGCCTCATAATCCATTTTTAAGAGTGTGTAACATTGCTACCTTCAGTACCCTTAACACACTGGCCGACAGCACTTTATGGCTGGCAGTCAGGGAGACCCACCTGCCTCCAAACGCTTTAACAAATGGGCCTATTTGGCAGCCTTCCTGCTTTGGTACGTAAATTTCCATCCATTCACTTGAGGAAGGTTATTGTATTTCACATGCTGTTAAAAACCCAGAGTGTCAAAGTCATGCTTTATAGCATCACCCCAGGCAAATGTATCACTGTCAGAAGGCTTACTCCAATAAAACCTCTTTATGGGTGATAGATTTTATTTGTGAGTTTATGGCAAATATCTGAAACATCAGGTATTCATGTTGTAATCACCTTTTATGAGCCTTGGTTTTCTCCTCTGCTTGGAAAGCACATGCACATCTATGCCCAGGATTTAAAGGGCTGAGACTTGGACCAGAGTGCCGTGGGTAGCCTTGGGCATGTTGCTCAGTTTCTCTGGATTTCGTATTGTAAGCCACCCTTACACAGATGTGATGATCATTAATTAGGCATTAATTCTAATGTGCTCTGAAGATGTGAAAGTGCTCTGTGTGGCCATCATTTCAGAGCTTATGAGTCTGGGTTCATTTTATTGGTTTTCACGGATTGCTTTATTTTTTTGTATTAAGACATTAACATTAGCCCCTAAAATGAGAATGTCTCTATTGCATCTTCCAGTTTCGAAGAGTAATGTTTCAGGTTGGCAGTGAAAATGGATGTGAAAGTATGCCAGCATTTGCATTAGTGAGATTTGCTGCGCTTCTTTCTTCTCTAATACAGGGTGAGAACTCCACCCTGTACAGACAGGCTTGAAATATATCCCAGAAAAGTTTGCCCTAAGAAGTGCTGACTGATACATATGACTGGTGGCCATTAGGATGGAGGGCCATTGGGCTGTTGAGGAATAGGCTCATTTCCGTGGGGACGCAGTGGAGGACCTTCTAGCTAACTGAGGAAGGGGTGTCCATGCTGTGTACTATCATTCAGTGCTGGGAAGAGGTTGGGCATCAGAAAACAAACAGTTCAGTGAGCCATGGCTTTCCTTCCCTTTCTCTCTGGGAGTGCAGGTCAAGGCCAATGGACAGCCCACCAGACAGTCAGAAATGTGACTAGTCTCCCAAGGGAACACTAATAAGATGGGGACAGTAGGGTTAGTGCACACACGGCATGGGGAGGGCTAGTGTGCAAGACAGAAATATTTCTGGAAAATGTCAAAGTGGTTCTGGAATCTGCTTCTACCCAGGCACCTGTTACATAATCTCAAGTAAATTTATAATTTTCACACTAACCATTGTCCCCACCAGCTGAATTAAAAAGTAGTCTCTTCTGACTTCCACATGAAAAAAAGAATGCACCAGCATTTCAAATTACCTGTTATTAAGTAGAGGCAGGTAGAAAGTTAATTTTGTAAAAGTTGAACCATCTAATGTAATAAGTGGTAATTAAAAGGCATAGACATTGCCTGAAGGTAGGTTAATCATTAAATTAGATTTAGATGTGGCTCAAAATATGACATCCCAGGAAAAGAACATCACACTCTCATTCACTTTAATGACCTCTTCACTCAGCACAACCACTTTAGCAGCTAACAAGCTTTCTGATTCCATTCCAGAAAAAGCCTGCTTCCACCTACCCAATTATCCTCTCCATTCTGACCCATTCATTTCTGAATTTGATAATTAAGGTATATCTTTAAGTAGCCCAAACATTACAACCAAGACGAGTAATGATGACAAGTAACTGCTCCTCCATCGTGCACCTTCAAAGGTAAACCTCATTTGGTTGAACTCATTCCAACAGTAAAACTCAAATGAATTTTCAGCGTTTAATCTGGAACCTGCAGCCACAATCATCATTGCTGTAGTTAAAAGTGCTTCATATTCAGATGTGAGGTAATAAAGGTATCTGGTGATGGGCTCAGGATAGGGATAACATATCTACAAAAGTGAAAATTTATCTCAGCTATATAATTTCCTTAACATGTTGACCGTGCATTAGGAATTAAATAACACTTTTAAAAGCCTAAAACATGTTCATTGTATTTTGCCTCTACCTTTTTCCTTGCTGATGTTATAAAAATTAAGCAATCATGCTTATTTTGTATTACTCTATATATGAATTCCAATCTGTGAAATATACATGTTGACACTATCAACCAATTAATTTCTTAAGATCTATTATTTGTTTTCAACATGTTAAATAAATGTATTGAAGCCATGATTGTAGCTTACCAGAAGTTCTACAATATATTTTAGGAAATGGAAGTCATCCCATCCTCCTATATAATAAAGAGGTAATATGCAAATTAACCCTCACACCCTCAGAAGATGGCTGCCTATGACCAGCCTGGCAGGGGGGTTGGTGAGGGACAACCAAATGACTAAACAGCAGGCTGCATGGAGCGACCAGGCCAGAAAGGGGGTTAGTGAGTGATTACCAAATGACTAAACAAGCAGGCTGCACGGGGCGACCAAGCTGGCAGGAGGGCAGTGAGGGTTGACCAGGCTGGCAGGGGGGCATTTGGTGATGATTAGGCTGGCAGGGGGGGCAGTGAGGGGCGACTGAGCCAGCAGAGGGTGTCAGTAAGGGGTGACCAGGCTGGCAGGGAGGGGGGGAAGGGGCAGTAGGGGGTGACTGGCCAGCAGCAGGAGGCCATTAGGGGTGATTAGGCCAGCATGCAGAGGCAATGAGGGGCGATCAGGCTGGTGTGTGTGGGGGGGAGTTAGAGGCAACCAGGCAGGCAGGTAGGTGAGCAATTAGGAACCAGTGGTCCAGGATTGTCAGAGGGATGTATGACTGTGAGATTAGGCCTGATCCTGGTGATCGGGCCTAAACCAGCAGTCGGACATTCCCCGAGGGGTCCTGGATTGGAGAGGATGCAGGCTGGGCTGAGGGGACCTCCCTCCCCCATGCACAAATTTCATGCACCGGGCCTCTAATATATAGATATATATATCCCCCAAATGATAGTACAGGGCCTGTCCCAGGGGTACAATATATTGAATGGATTTGACAAATGAATAAATGTTCTAAACAACTAGAACATAAAACTTGAATTTTCATTAACAGGATGATAGTGCTATTTCAAAGAATCAAAGAAAGCAAGTATATGCTCTTTCTCAGACATATCAAAAGGGACCTTTGCATACCTATTCTGAGCATATCTGAAATGATCAGAGTGAATAAAAGCAGTCACATGAATTAAGATACTAGAAACACTTACAGCCTGTAGCCATGCACACAAAGAGAGTTAGGAAAGTGCATGGCCAGAACATTCACAACCTGCCATCAAGGTATTAATTTGTCAAGCAAGTATGGATGTCTACCCTACATATGACACTATTGATTAATAATAAGTGGATACCAATATGTATACTGGCAACTGAGGTATACAAATAAAACAAAGCATTGATTGTGCTATCCAGATCACTGTCAAGTGGAAATAAATCCAAAGCATGATAAGTAAGGAATGAATGAGCTAAAGCAAACCCACCACAGATAACCACAGGAGCTCTCGAGAGATGCTCTAAAGTCCTCAGGATCCTCAGTAAGAGGCAAGGACTACCTAGGTCCTTGACAGTTTTCCAATGAAATAAAGGTACTTTCAGCTCAAATTAATCACCCTTAGGTAGAAGTGTTCCACTCCTGAGTAGATCTCTTGGTAGTTTCTTACTGGAAAATTAAAATGTAACCTCTTAGCTTTATATAACAGCCTCCAATTTGACTCCAAGCTACTTTTCCAGCCATTTGCTCATCTTACATCCTTTGTCTCATTCACAGTATATTTCAGAGGCGTAAGTATAATAGTTGACTTTTCACAAATATGCTCTGTATCTTCAGCCTTTGTGCATGCATATATATATATATATATATAT